GAAATTTCATCAGTTGAAATTCTGTCAGAAATTTCGTCGGAAATTTCTGACGGATCTAAATCCGTGGGAAATTTCTGACGAATTTTTGTCCGTGGGAAATTATCCGTCGGAAATTTAACTTTTCCTTGTAGTGATTGAAACCTGACTTCTAAGAGTTGAATAGTATACTTCTGGCATAAGAGAATACCTTGATTTGACTTAGCAATTTCCAATCCAAGGAAGAACTTGAGATCTCCTACAATGTTAAGTTTGAACAAATTCTAAAGTAGGTTTTGACATTTGTGTAAAGAATCTATATTTGGCCCTGCTAGTATTATGTCATCCACATATACTAGCAGGTAAATTATGTTGTTTCCGTTACAAAACCTGAAAAGAGAGTAATCACTTCTACATTGAATAAAGCCATGAGATTTCAAGGATATAGAGAATCTCTTAAACCACTATCTTGAGGCTTACTTCAGACCATATAGGGACCTATATTCAGCTTGCACACAAGATTAACTTGATCCTGTTGATTTATTTTGTAACGTTGTAGTATCTTCATATAAACGTTGTCACTCAAATATCCATTCAAGAAAGCATTTTGGATATCCAACTGAATGAAAGATCATTTCTTAATGGCTACTAGGGATAAAAGGACTCTAATAGTAGTTATAGTGGTCGCTGTTGAGAAAGTGTCAAGGAAGTCTGTGTTAGCTCCTTGTGTAAAGCCTCTTTCAACAAGTGTAGCTTTTCTTTTGGTTAGAGTGCCTTTAGCATTATATTTTGCCTTATAGATCCATTTACAACTTATAGCCCTTTTTTTTCTTTTGGTAAGGGTACTATATCCCAGGTGTTGTTGACATCCATAGCTTCTAATTATGTTGCCATTACTTCTCTCCATTCAAGGAATCTAACAGCCTGATGGTAGTAGGTTGGCTCATAGACACTGCTTATTTGCATAGTAAAATCTCTGTGCTGAGTTGAAAATCTATCATAGGAAATGAAGTTTTGTATGGAGTGCGAGGGCTTTAGGTTGGGAATTAAGACTTGGTAATCGTTTAGATATGATGGAAGGTTGGTTTGTCTTGATGATATTCTTGTAGTATCATGTGTATGTGAAGTTGGATTTTGAGTGTTGACATTTTAAGTTCCATCGATAGGTAGTTGTGTAGAAGCATCTTGATTTGCATTTAAGTTTTGCTCATAAAATTCCTTCTCAGTGGGTTGACCTACTACTGGCTTAGGAATAGCAGTGTGGATAAAAGGATTTAAATTATGCCTGAGATTTGGTGGACATGTGATTAAGGACAAAAGGGATGGTTTCTTCATGGAAGAGAACAATTCCTAAAGACTATAATCTTCCTAGTTTCAAGACTATACCATTTATATCCTTTTATACCTAGTGGATAACCAATGAATACAGTGGCTTCTACTCTTGGACCGAATTTGTGTCTTTCATGCTTCTATGTGTTGGCATAACACAAAGAACCAAAGACTTTAAAGTTGTTGTAGTTAGGTTCTTTGTTATAAGGGATTTGATAAGGGTTTCTCTTTTGTAAAACAGGTGTAGGGATTCTATTTATGATATATGTAGCGGTCAAAATACAATCTCTCCAAAATTCTATTGACACTTTGGACTGAAACATTAGAGATCTTGCCACATTTAAAAGATGTCGATGTTTCCTTTCAGCTACCGAATTCTGTTCTGGTGTGTAGGGACATGAAAACTGATACAATATTCCTTCATTGGCTCTGGGCTGCTTTAACGGGCTTTTAGGATTAAGTACTAACTGGGCATATAATCCGATTCAATCGAAATTTAATTCAGATGAGTTCTGCATTTTGGGAAAAATGCGTATATCTTCCAGCTGAGCTCCAGATGATTTTAAATTGGTTTTCTACATGGTTCCATTCCATGTCACATAACATATTTTTATGTTTTATGCTGTTTTGTTGTTGATGAAGAGCCCGGAACATGCCATGTCTCGAACCTGAGACGTATGAATTGTACAGAAACATGCAAACCATGAGACCAGGTTGATGATGGACTTATTATTAAACATTTTAAAAACTGATAAAGTATCCGATTTTCTGAACTCAATTAGTACCTTCTGCATAATATAATAAAATTTTCACATTTAATATTTTACTAATATTTAATACACATATTAAATATTTTTAATATTATATATAACTAAAATTTATAATAAATTGTATATATAAATAAATATTTTATTTAAATATATAAATTATATTTAAAATTTATATAAATAGATATTTTTAAATATTTGTTTACATTTTTGGTACAAGTGGAAAAAAAAGGACAGCAAAAATAAAAAGAAAGAAAAATGCACCTAATCCCTTAAAAAGGGAAACCAATAAAGGCATCAAGTAACAAACTATTCAAAATCATGAGAGCTTCTAAGAAAATAATAAGATCTTCATTTCTCGAGACCCTAAGCTTAACCAATGCATCTATACACCTATTACCCTCTTAAAAAGAATGAGTAAAAGAATACTCTCAATCTTGCTCCATAGGATTAAGGATGGCCAACAACTCATTAGCATGCACATGAGTAGCAATTTGTGCACTCTGAAGCAAATCCACCAAGGCCTACGAATCAAACCAACACTCCACCTTCCTGAAACCTTGATCCCAACATAACATGAGCCCATTTAAGAGAGTCAAAAGTTCTGCATGCAACACCACTACCTCATGCATACCATCAACATACCTCATTCGTCTGAAAATTTCGAATAGGAAGGAATCGATATGACTAACACCGCCCATTGAACCCTGCTCGAATTGAATTACCCTGGACACAACCACCGCACTGATCTCTGACTAGATTGAACCCTTGCGAGCCAACAAAAGCCTTCACCGACCAAGCCAAAAGAGCACAACTTGTTGGTAGGTATCATGAACATCGGCCATTGATGATCAAGCACTTACGCATTTCGCTTACTCCAAATTTTCCATGCAATAATGAAGAACAGGAGCCCAAACTGCTTTCCCTGATCATCCAACCAAGTCAGCCAGTTCGCATCAACAACACCCAACAAAACAACTTGCATGCTAAGCCTCAATCAAACCACTCTACTGAAAGGACATCTGAAAAAATAATGTTCAATAGTTTCTGTAGCCCCATTACTGTTGGATAATCTTAAATTTCTAGAGATATCCGAGATATCCGAGATATCCGAGATATTCGAGATATCCAAGATATCCGGGATATCCGATTTAGTTATCTGGAATTATTTGATTTTGAGTTATTTTGTTTCAGATTAGATAAGATAGTTTTTTGGTAAGTTTTGATTTGATAAGATATTTTATTATCTTCTTGTTAATTCAGTACGTTGTACAATGGCTATTTAAAGGTCATCTCTTATTCAATAAAAATCACAGTGAGTTGCTACGATCACCCACAATAAATATTTTATTTAAATATATAAATTATATTTAAAATTTATATAAATAGATATTTTTAAATATTTGTTTACATTTTTGGTACAAGTGGAAAAAAAAGGACAGCAAAAATAAAAAGAAAGAAAAATGCACCTAATCCCTTAAAAAGGGAAACCAATAAAGGCATCAAGTAACAAACTATTCAAAATCATGAGAGCTTCTAAGAAAATAATAAGATCTTCATTTCTCGAGACCCTAAGCTTAACCAATGCATCTATACACCTATTACCCTCTTAAAAAGAATGAGTAAAAGAATACTCTCAATCTTGCTCCATAGGATTAAGGATGGCCAACAACTCATTAGCATGCACATGAGTAGCAATTTGTGCACTCTGAAGCAAATCCACCAAGGCCTACGAATCAAACCAACACTCCACCTTCCTGAAACCTTGATCCCAACATAACATGAGCCCATTTAAGAGAGTCAAAAGTTCTGCATGCAACACCACTACCTCATGCATACCATCAACATACCTCATTCGTCTGAAAATTTCGAATAGGAAGGAATCGATATGACTAACACCGCCCATTGAACCCTGCTCGAATTGAATTACCCTGGACACAACCACCGCACTGATCTCTGACTAGATTGAACCCTTGCGAGCCAACAAAAGCCTTCACCGACCAAGCCAAAAGAGCACAACTTGTTGGTAGGTATCATGAACATCGGCCATTGATGATCAAGCACTTACGCATTTCGCTTACTCCAAATTTTCCATGCAATAATGAAGAACAGGAGCCCAAACTGCTTTCCCTGATCATCCAACCAAGTCAGCCAGTTCGCATCAACAACACCCAACAAAACAACTTGCATGCTAAGCCTCAATCAAACCACTCTACTGAAAGGACATCTGAAAAAATAATGTTCAATAGTTTCTGTAGCCCCATTACAATAGCTAGATCCAACAATAAAGCTGAATGTTGTGCCATGGGTACAACTACGTGCGAAATTACATGGCTTAGACAACTTCTACAACAGCTACAGTTTGGACTTTGGAGGCACTTAAGATACTGAGCTTATTTGTGACAATCAAGCCACTCTTCACATTGCTGCTAAAAGTATCATATAACCTGATCCAATACACACAAATTGAGAGAAATTATATTTAATAAAACATCAAACTAAGTGAATCATCACTTTCATGATCCACTTTTCACATCTTTTTCCCTTGAATCCCCAAAATGGCCTCTCATTCTTGCTGTTGGGAATAGCCTCTACATTGGTTAGTACTTAGTACACAGAGAGAGAAACTGCTATCCAATGAAATGCAAACAAGGTCAATCTTGGCCCTAGTTACCCCCACAATGGATTAATATTTAATCTAACACTAGTTTTCACCAAAATGGACTTTGCCCTCATTCCCGCAGAAATCTGGTTATTACACGTCTATTCTACCAGTGCAGGTGACACTGAACACATAAAAGAAACATTTCTTAAGCCTTGTATGTAGCTATCATTTTATTTTTCCTTTCTCAATTTTGAGAAATAATATTATGTCCTCTGTTATGTATTTGTTCAGCACAATGAATTTAAAATGCTGTCTTGTGTCAACAGAAGAGATATCGCTCACCTGTCCATTTCACTTTGTAGAAGGTCAGCTAGAAGTGGCAGAAGACCCGTGCATATATCAAGGGTGATGGTATCAATTTTTTCCATTATAATGCTAACAACATCAGCAATCACCTGGAATAAATACCAATAATAGCAAAAAAATAATATCATGCATCCATATATTGATACCACAAACATGAACACAAAAATAATGAGATGTTGTATTGACTGAATATAAGCAAACTCAATGCTCACAGCATGATCATCCATCTTTGCCATTATGCCAATGACCTCCTTAACATCATTTCTTTCCCAGCATCTGAAGACCATCTGCAATATAATGCTTTAAAAGTTCAGCCAACGTATAATTGCTAGTAGGTTTGGTTAAGTTACCAAAATTCTATTTTAATTTATAGAAATCATAAGGGTTTATTTTCTTTTTATATAGAAACCATGTTCTCATCTTGCCTGTTCAGGAAAACTGGCTGTGGATCCTTCAAATTGGTTTTAGGCACAAGTTCAACTCGCCTAGGAAAAAAAATCTCAAACTTCAGAATGGTTCAGTTGGTTGTAGTGAAGAGGTATATCTACGATTATAGAGGTTTGATAGTATTCTCTGGGATAAATATTTGCTATTTCCTGGTCTAAGCTTCCCTATGGTGCCTGGCAAATATCTTTCAAGAGGGGTTTCTCATTTAATATGCAAAGATATTAGCAAGAATTGCCAAATAGATTATTTTTTCTTGTGCACTCCAGGTTACTCAACTATATACGATTGCATTGTAAGAAATAAAATATCTAGAAAATATCTCATAATGTCATCATTATTTCATGATTGGTTTCCTCATTCAATTTGGTGTACGAGTCTAGTTACAGTTGTCTTTTACAACACTTCAATAAACACCATATATGAATATTATATTCTATCATCGGTTGCTTGTTCTCTCTTTTTCTCATTCCTACCTAAATCCCTATAATTTCAATTTTCATCAGATATATTATCCTCTGGTCTTGAAATTCTCTCCTTTTCTAGAGTAATTCTTTTTCTATAATTTAAAAAGATGCTAAAGCACATCGTGTTCTCCATGTTACCTTCCTGCGACCCTGATCTGTTGACATTTAACAACATTCAAAGACCCTTGTGCAGTATACATATAACGATAGCCGATACACAAATAAAAATAAATTCAAAGGACTTAATGAAAAACATATTCATCAAATCATAATTAAATCAACAATACCTGTAACTTAGCTGAACGAGCCAGCATTGAACTGAGAAATTCATCATGCAGTTCCATCACATCTGCAATGGAATCTTCATCGGTAGCAGAAACTGTAGCCTTCTCAGTGGATATAGAATGTGCTCTCTGTTTAAATTTGAGGAGTAAGAAAATTACATCCTCCAAGGAAAAGAAAACAGGGAAAAGTACACAAAATACAGTAACATCTGTCTCCTCAATACAATTAAATCAAACATTAAATTGACTCTAAATCTATGAACTTTACTAAGGCAACACAACTGTCCTAACTCATTAAGATTTTGCACACATTTTGATAATAGAAATGTGCACAAGCGAGTAAATTATTTTTCAATAGATATCCCTTTTAAATAAGAAAATTCATTACTCTAATCCAGTTTTTCATGAGAGAACAAAGCATATAGAGGTTGACTGCCATTTCATCAGAGAAAAGATCCTCTCCGGTATCATCAAGACCTCCTCAGTTTGCTCCAAGGATCAACTTGCAGATATCTTTACTAAATCTTTACGAGGTCCTAGGATAACATATATATGTAACAAGCTAGATGCATATGATATATATGCTCCAGCTTGAGGGGGAGTGTTAAGATAATTCTATAAGATATAGTTTAGATATACTAGTTTATGTTAAGATAATTCTATAAGATATAGTTTTCTTGATTTATAGTTTAGTTTTCTTTAGTCAGATTTATCTTTATCCCTAAACTTTAGGGATTGATTATGTTACAAGCCTATTTATTTGATTGTACCCAACAATTCAGAATAATAAGAAATTATTCAGATTTAAGTCTCTATATGAGATGAAGCAATCTCTTTGTGCCTAGTTTGGCCGGTTTAGTTGTGCCTTACTACGATTTGGTATGACCCACTAAGGCTGACCACTGTCTTTTCTCTTTATCCTCCATCTAGCCTCTGCATTTATCTAGTTGTCTATGTTGATGACATAAGCATTATTGGTGACAATTTTGATGGCACCCGTCAACTCAAATCTCACCTTCAAAGTCAATTTCAAATATAAGACTTGAGACTACTCAAATATTTCTTAGACATTGAGGTTGCTTAGTCCACCTTTGGTATAGCCATTCCCCAGAAGAAAAATGCTCTAGATATTCTCACCAAGACCGTCATTCTAGACTGTCAACCTAGTGACACACCTATGGATCCTAACGTGAAGCTTCTTCTAGGTCAAAGGCAGCCACTGAAAGACTTGAGAAGATATAGTCGACTTGTAAACTTAATTATCTCATTGTCACTAGGCCAGGTATTACATTTGCAATAAGCATGGTAAGTCAATTCCTAAATGCCCCATGTGATAGCCATTGGGATAAGCAAGCTGCATAATACAATAGCTAGATCCAACAATAAAGCTGAATGTTGTGCCATGGGTACAACTACGTGCGAAATTACATGGCTTAGACAACTTCTACAACAGCTACAGTTTGGACTTTGGAGACACTTAAGATACTGAGCTTATTTGTGACAATCAAGCCACTCTTCACATCAATTTTAGTGTTACTCGTCTCTCTTAGTTTTTCTACAATTACACCATGGGCAACCAATTGGGATATTCAAACCACGATGAGCCAAAACATCACATGTCGGGGACACAATGATCCAACTGCCACACAAACACTTGCACTGTCCCGAGGAGATGCATCCACGAAACCCAATTCCAATTATCATGACTCCTCATGCGATTCTAATTATCTAACCAATGATTGGGCGACCTCATCGTATACAAACCTTTAGCATTTTGGTCCTAAATCCACAAATCTAGCATGCCATCAACAAGATAAGGATTGATAGATCGAATAACAGTCAAAACCTCATCAAGAATAGGGCTATATAATCTGTTTAGGAACCATGTAATGCCATTCCATACATCTCGCACTCTTAACTCCATATCGTGGATATCCACCCAAGGCACTTTGTTGGCCAGCATGGTTTTAAAGGCCTAAGCATCCTGCCAAAAATCCAGTTGACCTTCTCTTAGCTTCATGGATAAGACCGTCTTCCAAGGCCTCCAAAGCTTTCACCAACAAGTTCTATACAACGGAACCTCGCTTTCCTTTGCATGGAAAAAGATTCCCCCATATGACATATTTATCCCTTAATACAATTGTCCAAAGTTGGCTAGGCGGTTGTAACAACTCCTACACAAGTTTCCCTAATAACAACGTGTTTTGATGTTAGGCTTTGCGCAATCCAAGGCCCCCACACTTTTTCATATTTGTAATTTTCTCCTAACTATCCATATGAAGACCCGTGGTGTTACCCCTTCTCCAAATAAAGCAACGAATGGTGCGATCAATATAATCACACATATATTGAGGGTACTGGTGGATTTGCATTTCGCATAAGGGTAAGGTGGAAAGAACTGCCTTAGCCAATGTTACATGCCTAGCCTTGTTGAGGAGACTACTCTTCCAACTCGTGAGTTTGGCTTGGACACACTCAATAAGATTAGCAAAATCAGTAGGAGTGACCCTCCCCTAAAAGATTATGAAACCCAAGTGTTTGTCCAAACTATTTGTACCTTGGATGTTAGTTACAAGGGAGATCTTTTGCTTAGTCCTGAAAGTCACCCCTTTAGAAACAAGGAAACGGGATTTAGCCAAGCTCACCTTCATACCAGAAAGGGTGCAAAAGTCTTACAAGACTTTCGCAACAAGAATTGCTTGGGAAACATCAACTATTATAAAAATAAGTACATCATCAACAAACAAACAAAAAAAGATAATGGAGGCCCCCCAGACGTGAAGTGAATTGGCTGCCAAATACCTGCCTACACAACATCTTAAATCATAAACCCCAAGCACTCCATATAGAGAATAAATAAATAGGGAGAAAGCGAGTCGCCCTGGTGTAGGCCACGAACAGGGTTAAAGATCCATTTTGTTACCATTCCATAAAAGAGAAAGACTAATTGTCATAACCCCGTGCATAATCAAAGAAACAATAACTTCATGAAATCCAAACAACTGGAAAATTTGTCTCAAAATTCCCGATCAATTCTATCATACACTTTTTCCAAATCTAATTTAAGAACTATATCCCCCTGCTCGCTCTAATTTCTTCCCATAAAATGAATGACCTCCTAAAGAATGTTAACATTATCCTTGGTGTCTCTGCTCGAAATGAAGCTACTTTGCTAAAGACTTATCAAGCAATCCAAATAAGGTCTCAAATAATTAACAAGCACCTTAGAAATTAATTTATATAAGACATTGCATAAGCTAATTGGCCGAAAGTCCTAAAAAAAGTGACTATCACCTTTTGGAATCAACACTAATAGAGTTTTAGTCACTTGATCAACGAATGTTCTAGTATAGAAGGCACTAGCGACAAAATGCCACACCTCTTCACCCACCTTATCCCAAAACATATTATAGAATGGAACCCATCAATGATGGAGTCCAAAGAAGTCTTCAAGTGACTCCGAAATTGAACTCCTTGATCTCCTCTTGATCCTTGAAGATTTTTCAAGGAGAATCCAAGAACAACAAGAGAAGAAAACTCAGCCAAGCTGCTCCAATCTTCTCGGATAGAAGAAGAGTTTCCTCCTAAAGCAACAAAGAGAAAATCTCAAGGCAACTTGAAGAGATTCTTAAGGGAGATTCTTAAGGGTGACTTCGGCTAGGGAGAGAAATGATGAATATAACTCTCATATATGCTCAAAGTGCCAAATCTATGCGGCCATAATGAGTATATAGGCATAGGAAGTGTGTGGAGAAAGCTAGCTTAACCTCAAGTTAAACTAAATCATGGTATGGTTTAGATTAACCTTAGACGCCCAAATTTCAATTTGAATTGAATTCAAATTTGAGGTCCAACCACTCTCACCCATGTGCTTACTTCATTAATTGTAATTTAGCTTGCATTTGAGAGGCATTTGAATCATGCCATGTGCGCCACCCCACATGGCCGGTCACATGGTCCAAATGTAATCTAAATTACATATAAATGAAGTTGCACATGCACAAGCCTAAATCTAAACTTAACATGACTGAAATACAAGACCTAAAATGAGCCTGATCTACTTGGCCAAAATACAAGGCCCACAAACAAAAACACAAGCCCAAGTGGGCCAATCCTAATCTACATGGACTTTAGTGCATAGTCCTAGTGATTAGACCCTTGACTCATAAGCCTCCATCAATTAAGGCCCAAGACTTTATAGGTTTTAATACTCCACAAGGCCCAATAGACTTCTTTCAAGACTAGACAAGTAAGAGCCGACCAAGCTTCACAATCCAAGGTGGTCACAAAATTGCTAGTGGGTTGGGCCGCCAACCTATCTTTCGTACATAACAGAGATTTAAAAAAGGTGACTGCTTCCACTTGAAGAAAATTTTAATTTCACTGGTGCACCAAACACTATAGGGGAGAATAAGCTCATTAATTTTATTCCTCTTTCTTCTTATAACTGTTTGCGCATAGAAAAAATGAGTGTTCTGACTCCCCAATCGAATCCATTTCTCTCTAGATTTCTAAAACTAGAAAGTCTCCTCTTAAAAAAGTATAGTTTTGTAAACTTATAGAAGTTCATGCTTTAAATGAGATAAGCACACTGAGTCAATGTTTTCAAGAGCCTTCTAAATACCCTGAAGACAAGCTTCGAGTTCCCGTTTCCTCCTGAAGATACTCCCAAACACCTCCTTATTGAAAACAATGAAATCCTAAGATACATTTTGCAAAGGCAAGATCACATTTTCCTAACCTCATTGTTAGGCTCAATGAACCACTTATACATAATCTTCATGGGTACACCAAGTCACCTGAAATCGGCAAGGACGATCCGCTCAACCACGAATAGGATGCAAACAACGCAACAACAAGGGGCTATGATTCGAATGTTTACGGACGAAATGCTCAACAATAGCATCAAGAAATGCCAGTTGCCAAGCTTGATCAGAAAGTCCTCTATCAAGAAGTTGAGATGTTAACTTATCACCCATATAATGTTTCTACCGAGTAAATTTGCTACCAAAGTACTTTTAAGTCAATGAGTGCACAATCATAAAGCATCTCCTCGAAAGCAACCACTCGCAACCTAGAGAACAAACCACCCTTTTACTCAGATGGAATAAGTATATCATTAAAGTCCCCGACCAAACACCAAGGAAGGTTTAGCTTCCAACACAACTCCTTCAAATGCCTCTATAAGAGCTTTCGCACAACATAATTAGGGCTTGCATAGATTGCCAAAAAAACTCCAAGCATGGCTACCATAATTCACGTGGATAGTAATACACTAAGGCATAATCTCAATACAAGCAAAGGAAAAATCAGAACTCTTTACTAGTACCTAGATACCTCTCGAGAAACCACGAGCCTCCTTCATAACTACCAAGGAATAGCCTCCCTATTCCAAAATGAAAGTGCACTAGACTAGTGTGTATGAGTTTCATATTGAAAAACAAGCGTGGGACGAAACCAAATCACAAGGTCCCGCATATGACATCGACTACGCTTATTGGCAAAACCTCTAACATTACAAGAAAGAATTAAGCATTCTTCAAAACCAATCATGATGATCAAAAAAAGAAAATAGAAAAGTGAAACCCCAATCTCGTAATCACCCATTTTTCAAGCACTCTATCTCTATCCCACCATCTTCATCACTATTGGGACTAGCACCCTAGGAGCACAAGGCACTAGTACCCTCACCGAAAGGGACACACCGATTCGAGGGTTCAAAAATTGGCAGACAAGTCAAGTGAATAATTTAAATCCCTATGTTCAAACCCTCCCTTCTCCGCCAATTGCCCTACATGTAGGCACGTAGGCACTTGCATGGCCACATCCACATTAGGGGGCTCCGTATTCTCTCTCATCACAAGACTCAAGATGGGATCTAATTTGAGAACTTCGCCACATGATAGAACACAAACTGGGAGCGTTAACTCATGAGCCAACTCACGTGTTTCCTATCAGGGGTGTTTCTGTTTATTCCTTTACAACACATTATCCTTGTTGGTGGGACCTTTGTGTAAATCATTTGTAATCATTGGGGATTGATTATACACGACCACACCATGCTCAACAACATGTAGGCCATGAAATTTATTATTTGCCAATTTAGTTGCGTGCTTGGAAGGAATAACTGTTGACCCACCCTTGATCTTCGATTTTGATTATCTAGTTTTTTATACCAATATCCAATCTTCATAAAGGAGATCTTCCTCCACAGTCTTCACTTTAACTTCCACGATCTTCGCATGCCCTATCATGTGATTAATCTATGTAGCATCAGATTGATTAAGATGAGCATGCAACCCATGCTCCATCTTCTCCGATAATGCCTTGCTTTGGGGGTTGTCACCCACTATCCCCACAGTATCAATTGAACACTTGGCCATCGTATGACTGTATATTCCACACTTTTTACAAATAAGATGGAGCCCCTTATACTCTACCTTAAACCAATGATCTCGAAACCATACATGCCCCACCACAGAAACGATCAAATTAATCTCTACACACACACAGGGGCAAACCTTCCCCGAGATGCATCAATTGATCGAATATCCACGTGAACAGACTTCCCAACCCTCGCAGCCAAAGCCATACGCAGCCAAAGCCATAAGAATATTCTCACCATAGTATTCCAACCCTAAACAAGGAAAACACACCCACACAAGTGTGCTTTGTCCTCAACCAATAATCAAAACATTGTCTTCAAGCACCATATCAAGATAGTTGGGAATCTTTCGAATGGGTAACCTACTAACCCCTTAATCCACAAATGACACCGAAAATAGTGATCCATGATTGTTCAACTTCAGCGATTTAAACAGCTTTTACATAGGTGACATTGCTGGACCAAATATTGCACATAACATGGTTCATCATGTGAGTGTAGAGAGTGACACTTTTAAGGGGTGGGAATAGCAAGTGCGGTTATTGCTATTTCTTGTTTTAGGGTTCGAAATCGATTTAGAAGCACAAAGAGAGTTCCAAATTGGTAGAGTGGGGTGAAAGGCTTCTTTTTTTTTTTTTTTTTGAAAGGTAGAGGGGGGGAGCGGAGGGAGGAGGAGGAAGAAACCAATTATTGTTCTTCATGCCACCAAGGTGCTGATTTTTGAGACGGGGAAGAATGATCTAAGGGTTTTTTTTTTTTTTTTTTTTGAAAGGTAGAGGGGGGGAGCGGAGGGAGGAGGAGGAAGAAACCAATTATTGTTCTTCATGCCACCAAGGTGCTGATTTTTGAGACGGGGAAGAATGATCTTAGGGACAAAGGGACTTGGTACTGTGACTTTGTTAAGGAAAGTGGGTGGCAGAGGGATGCTGAACTGGTTCATGACTTCGTTGAGAGAGAGAGAGAGAGAGAAAGAGAAACAAATAGTGATATTTTAGAGTCTTCAACCTCAGTGAAAGACACATGTTTCATGGAGGGAGGCAGAAGGAGCACGGTACAATGAGTTAGACGTAACTTTAAGATATTTTTTAGGAAGGTGATAGTATACAGAAAAAGCATGATAAGATCTTACTCAGCCATGTAATCTAGTGGTCGAAAATAAAAAAATAAATTAGACTACAGTAAACCACTTAACATACTGGAGCACGCTAGCCGTTGTCGTGTATGTATAATGTTGGAATTTATACATTTTGTTTAAACATTCGGTTGCCCTTATCCCTGTTCCATCATTAGTCACCATCTAGTTGGATCCACTCCAAAAAGATTTGACATCCCAGTTTCAGAAATTCCTATGAACAGGTTCAATATTTCGGGATCCAAAGTGAATCTCTAATTAGAGAGCTTGTGCTCACGTCCATGGGATACTGGAGTACAGGATTGGTATGCAGATAAATTCTTGCCGAATTTCCATGCTCAATGTCAATCAACTGGGAAGTATAGCGGAATTTTCCTATCACATTGTCCACGAATCTAGTTTATAACCCCATATCTCAATTGCCTTGCAAAACAGCTATAAAAATATGTAATGTAAAAGGTCGGCATCATAATTTTGCATAACAAGCACACGCATGCATAGTTCATTTGATAGTTTCAGCTAATTCAGACGCATAATGAATCTCCAAAAAAATCAAAATCAAAATATATAATAATACTGAAAATTTTCACCATTTTAACAAAATAAACTCCTCGCCTTCTCCAAATCACCACTCCAGAGAATAACGTGAACGAATAACAAAAGTATGAATAAAATGAAAGGGTTACAAGCAAGTGCAGCACTACTTCCCGAGGAAAAATAACCAGCTGTCTTTTCCTTCAATAACCCTATTGCTCAAACAATTTAGAAGCACTTTCTATGCACAATTGATGGTCCAGACTCATCGTACTCTGCCTTTGCAATCCACATCTGCACTCAAACAATAGTTTGTCCATTAGCAAGCATACAAAGCCATCTATCTCACAGCAACATTCAAAGAAATGTTGTTTGAGAAAGATTAGTTTTTTCACTTTCAACTGTTTTTTTCATAAAAAAGGTCTTTTGTAAAATAAGTTATATGTTTAGGACAACGGCTTAAACATAAACAGGTTTTATTAAGTTGAAAATTTGAAACTTTAGATTATTTATTAATAGTTTTTTAAATTTTTAACCTGATTTATTACATAAAATTTAATTTTTTTGTTGTATATAAATGAAATTATACCTCTTAAAATCACGTTTTAGAAAGTTTATCCAAACAAAATTTTATTATTATTATATTTGATTATAAGAATAATACATCATTCATATAATTGATTATTAAAATAATCTAATTTTCACATCTTTTTAAGCACACTTAGTTGATAGATGAGATGAATCTTATTAAAGAACATACCTGCTGGAAGGTGCTCAGGGATGCCAAGATAGAACCTCCAATCCAGACACTGTACTTTCTCTCAGGAGGTGCAACCACCTTGATCTTCATGCTGCTGGGGGCCAAAGCAGAAATTTCCTTGCTCATTCTATCAGCAATGCCAGGGAACATGGTGGTACCTCCTGAAAGGACAATGTTACCATACAGGTCTTTCCTGATGTCTACATCACATTTCATTATGGAGTTGTATGTGGTTTCATGAATGCCTGCTGCTTCCATCCCTATCATGGATGGTTGGTACAAGACCTCAGGACACCTGAAACGCTCAGCACCAATGGTGATAACCTGCCCATCAGGCAATTCATAGCTTTTCTCCACTGCAGAGCTAGTCTTGGATGTCTCTAGCTCTTGCTCATAGTCAAGGGCAATGTAAGCCAGCTTCTCCTTCATATCCCTCACAATTTCACGCTCTGCTGACGTGGTGAAAGAATATCCACGTTCAGTCAGAATTTTCATCAAGAAATCAGTGAGGTCACGACCAGCCAAATCAAGCCGAAGGATGGCGTGTGGGAGGGCATAACCCTCATAGATTGGGACTGTGTGGCTGACACCATCCCCAGAATCCAACACAATACCTGCAAAACCAAGGAAAATAGATCATATTGGAAAAAGTGAAATGGAGAAAAGACAGACAATGAGGAGCACCTCCAGGTTGATGAGGCCACCGATAGTTTTAAAGCAATTTTCTACACCAAAGATTTATTCTATTGTAACCCAGGTGCATGCAGGCCTAGTGCCACTCTAAATCAATAGATAAGATCAAACTACAGCATGAACCTAATCAAAACCAAATAATTTCAAGAAAATCTTACCAGTTGTACGACCACTGGCATACAATGAAAGAACAGCCTGAATGGCTACATACATGGCAGGAGCATTGAAAGTCTCAAACATGATTTGGGTCATCTTCTCACGATTAGCCTTAGGGTTAAGAGGAGCCTCTGTCAACAGAACCGGGTGCTCTTCTGGAGCCACACGAAGCTCATTATAGAAAGTATGATGCCAAATCTTCTCCATATCATCCCAATTGCTAACAATACCATGCTCAATGGGGTACTTGAGAGTCAGAATACCACGTTTAGACTGTGCCTCATCACCAACATACGCATCTTTCTGGCCCATGCCAACCATCACACCAGTGTGACGAGGACGGCCAACAATGCTAGGAAACACAGCGCGTGGGGCATCATCTCCAGCGAATCCTGCCTGAAAAACACGCATTGCAATTCCAATGAAGGGCAAAGTTAATGCAAGATAATTCCCTCAATGAGATGCATTCTTTACCTTGACCATTCCTGTTCCATTGTCGCAAACAAGGGGTTGAATATCCTCAGCGTCTGCCATCTTCTAATATCAGTTCTGCTGGATAAACAACAACCAGTACAATAAACAAAATGGCAAGGGAAGCCAAGAGGCTAGTATAGATATATTTTTTTCACTTGCTTAAATTACAACTACCTTTTGGGAGACAAGATCTCGCTAAAGGTGAGCAATAACACGATTTTAAAAAGAAAATTACAATGGAAACGCCAATAATTAACTCAGTATTTAGACGAAAAAAATTATCCACATACTGAACAAATTAAAAATAAATCGGACTACATCCAAGAACAAGAATAGAAATGAGGGATGAGACAAGCAGCTGTGATTTATCAATTTAATCTGTATCCATCTATCTCGCTCCTATCATGTAATTTTGGAGTAACTTACAAAAAAAAAACATAGAGATTAAAGGTGTGAATGAGGCTAACATAGACAGATCCAGCTCCATTCGCACCAAATCTAAAGAACTGGATCGCAATGACAATGACATTGCAGAGAATTTAAACGAATCCAAACACATTATGTATAAACTAGGCGAGGCAGAGTTGGGTGAATTAAAAAATTGAGAATGTGATGGCGGAGAATACAATGCAATACGTACCTTGAGAAATGCGGAGGGCGAGAGAGGGGAGGAAAGGATGGAAGAGCGCTTCTGAGAGTCAGACACAAAATGAAGCAAATTATTCAAATGAATATAACAACCACCACATGGAATCGGAACCGTTGGATTCTCGCTCCATTTTAAATTTGGAGAGAGAGAAAGAGAAATTGACGGAGCTACTCCTACTACATTTAATTTATATCACCCATTCATTCTTTTTTACATATAAACCAAATAAGAGGAATTTACGGAAGTAAATAATGGGTAAGGTTAAATACAACTTTCTTTACCCTCCAATGTATTAAAAAGAACGGACAAGAGGAACACCCCAACTCTCCTTCCCTACTTTTTCTTTTATCCCTATAATTATGGAGTGTAAGATTTAAGAAAATACATCAATGATTCTACACACATCATATCAGACTTCAACTCTCAATTTAATATCAACTTTCCATTTAATATCATACTTGAGGGCCCACTTTCGCAACCACAATAGTTCTCCACCACTAAAGAGTACATTGTAATGCAAGATTTAAGAATGCCAGCAAAACATAGAAAAAGAGAAACAAATTATGACATATTTCAACCTAGTTGTACAGTTATACTTGCATGGTTAGTGAGTTGTTAAGACTAGCCAGCCAAGATTTATTGGAGGTTAAAATTATTCGACACTACAGGTACCGCAAACGCTCAGTGGTCAATTTCTTACTGCTAAAAGTGCATGCGACTTTATGAACCATAAAAAAGTGGATGTAACTTGCTCATTTGCGACGGAAAGTTATGTGTTATGAGAATAAACGCGACATTTCAAGAGAGGGGGATTCAGTTACTTCAGTACATCACGATTCAGTGTAGGCGGTTCCAGATTTCAGTTGTAAAATTAATTAATGGTTGTTTCTCATAAGATACTGCCACGTAAGGGCAACTGGCTGCCCATTATGGTATTTGATGTCCTGCCGTTTATTTTTATGCAAAACTAACATTCTTTCGTGATATGAAGAACATGTATACAGACAGCAAACTGTAATATTTTCGTATGCTTCGGACCTGATTGAGCCCCTGCAACTAAATTATTATTCTTGTGCTTTCGTGGTCGTTGAAAACTGAACCATCATGATGATATTCAGCTAGGTTCTTTTCCTAAATTGAGTGAGCGTTTGAAAAACAAAATCGATGAAATTAATTTATTTAGAAATTATTTTAAATTAAAGTAATTTATATTCAAAATATTTATATTTAAAAAACAGGCTAGTAGTATAACAGTTAGAAAAAACCATACTTTAACACTGGCTGCTTTATTTCAACTCAATCAACTCTAAATTAAAAAAAAAGATCACTCAATATAACATTAAACATTAAAACTTGCCTAGAATCATGTCAGTTAATATTTCATGATTTCGAATAGTCCGATGTAAATCTAAGCACGCACGCAATCAGTCAATATGACTTTTTGGGAGGTCTCTTCAGCATAATTTCATCAAGATTAAACATGGGCTTCCCCCACCCAGCAAACTCATGTCTCAGCAGTTTGATTTGAAAGATAAAATTTTATAGCCACAATGTAGAATCGGTTTGCCCGAATAGAAAACTCGATTAATTTGACAAAAACAAAATCTACTTTGTCAAATAAGGAAAATGTTAAAATACCAAACTAATTTTCACTTCTCATTAATAAGGGCGTATACTGATTTATACGGTGTTTAAGATCCATACACTTAATTTTCGATTGCCTAGCATGTTATGCAGTCAGGGCGCGTTTTCCATATCCTATTCTGATTTATATTAATTGATGCATGTCAATAAAAGAAAATATAGCAATAGCATATCAATCACTCAAGGGTTATATGACATTATATACTATCAGATTTTGGCCCCTTCTATCCTCCACCCTACCAACTAGACAACACCCAACTACACACACACTGCCAACTCCAATCTCCAGCAGAAAGCTAAATGAATTGAGCAGAATAATAAAACTTTTTCATATTTATTCCATCATTGCATCAGCCGAGATATCAGCAGCAGGCACATCAGATTTTCTTTTGTTCTTCCCTGCATGGTGTTACAGCAAATATTAATTCAAGATTCACGCGCAGAATATTTTCATTATTTTGTAAACAATTTGAAGGTTAATTTTCAAAAGGTCCTACCCCCAAACGTAAAAGTTATATATTAGTAAACTCTTATCTAAAATTAAACTTTTTAAGAAAGCAAAGAATGACTACACAATATTTTCTATTCTTAAGTTTCTCATTTGACAAACCTCAGCATAGTTCATTTAGCATAGTCTCACATGTGTAATCACCAGAGTTTTATACATAGCTACAACCAGATCTATGTAATCAAATTGTAGATGCAGATGTGACATGAAACAGCCATCTCATCACTAGTATTGTAAATGTGATATGTGTACAAAAACATATCTAGTACATCCCTATTCATTACTTCTAGATATATTTTTTTAGTTTCAACTTCAAACATCATCAGATGCAAATATGGTATGCATTTCGTCATGATAGATGACTCATTTAACCTTCTTTTATTTGGTTTTGGTTCTTCGAAGTAGTAGTGTTCATGTCATGTGTACTAGTTTTACATGTTCCAATGTTTGTAGTATCATCAACATCAAACTTTCATGGGGTATATGTGCCATGCCAACTCATAAATGGTGGCCCAATTTTTGTAGTACCAATCACATTACAAGTACAAAATGATAACAAAGTGCCAAGACTATCAAGGATCAAAGGTAAGATTTATCATTTTGTAATAAATGAATTTTTGGCTGAATTTTAAATTTTATTTAATGAGGCTCAAAGAGTACTCAAGTCCCCGTATCCAATCCTAAGCTTAGATCTAGTTATCGCTACATTGGAATGGTGCTGCGGAATGGTGTTGTGACTAGAAAAGAAAGGGCAGGAAAGATGAAATCAAAAGAACAAAAAATCTAATATAATTTATAAACATCTAATGAGGGAGGAAATATAAGGACTTTTTTCTGGCTTGCTTCTCAATGTTGGTAGCATTTTGTTGAATTTAGTGGGAGCTTCAAATTGGAGTGGCTAAACAGAGAAGAAAATATTTTGGGAGAAGGCTAAATTATTAGTAAATGTGGACACTCTATAGACTTGGTGGGTACTATTTCCAAGGATAAGAGTAAATAAGTGCATTCACAATATGTTACATGGACTTCAATTCATGAATACTAAAAGCATTTTAACATGTGATACGTGGATTTGCTTAATATGAACTACATGAACTGCGGATACTTGTAACACGTTCGACATGTTATCGGTGCATTCATATATGGAACAAATATCTTCGGCTACATTCTTACTTATATAATGCCTTAACCTAAGAAGTACAATTTTACAACAAGGAGAAGGCAAATACTATTAAGAAATAAAAAGCATGATAAAGTTACCTTTGCGTTTGAGCTGTTTAAGTTTGATGCTCTTCTTCAAGTGAATTTTTGGCGAAGGTCTTTGGGTCTCTTGGGTATCCCCTGTTGGCAAAATGAAATAATATCAGCAGAAGCAATTCGATGCAATCAAACATGTTTTGTGGTAGCAAAAAAGTTGATTGTACCTTGAGCAACAGCCATTTGAACATCTTCCATGGTGACTAAACCATTCTGTAAGGCGTCCTTTTGGTCCTGAAAGAGGGAAAAGAAAGTAAGCGACATAGTGAGGGTGATGAAGAGTGTGTAAAGAGAGAAAGAGAGAGTAGCCTACCCGGCGCCACTTTTTGAAGAGCTTGCGCTTGCGTTTTCCGGAAAGGGAATGGGGCTGGGTCGGGATCTTGAGTTTGCCGGTTGAAGGGTCCCCGTGAACGAGTCTCTTCTTCTCTGCAATCAGAGCTCTCCTTTTCTTCTGCACCACATTGAACTTCGCCATCCCAAACCCTAAACGCCTGCGCTGCTTTTCTTTCTACTCAAATATTACTTTACCATTTCCCGCACCTGTGTAAGCGGGTGGATTGGGCTGGGCTTCCGTCTATTCAATCAAAATTTAACAATTAGAATTACACCTCCTTTTTTTTTAATAAGTACATTCCCTTTTTAAAAAAATATAATTAAATTCTTTTTAAAAAAAATAATTTTTAAAATTTTTTAATTTTACACTTTTAATATTTAATTTAACACTTTTTTTATATGTCTTTTTCTCTTATTTTTACATGCACCTCTTTCATTTTTCTTCACCTTCACCTATTTTTGTAAGTAATTTTAATTCTTTTAATTTTACATTATTCTTTTCCCATCTTCTTTCAATTTTCTTACAGATTTTACTATCCGCATAGTACTCTAGAATAGTAAAAATGTTTTTTTCATAACATTAAACTTAATGTTAAGTTTTTTGGATGGGTAAAAGAAAATGAAGTGTTAGAAAAAAAAATGTGTGTCTAGTTTGATAAAAACTAGTGAGGAAGTCACTCATACCTACAATGTTGCAGTCTACCAGTTCTATAATTTGGGTGCATGTCAAAAAGTGAAAAAGGTGAGAAAATAAGAGAGTAATATAAAAATCGAAAGAACTAAAATTACTCATTAAAATATGTAATGAATTAAAAGAAGACAACATGATGCATGTGAAAACTGGAAAAGAGAAGGAAGAAAGTGTGTGAAAAGAAAAAATAGTAAATTAAAAGTTAGAGATGTAAAATTAAAAATTTAAAGAATAAAAAAAATTATAGATATTTTAGGATTTTTTATTAAAAAATAAAATAAAGGAAGTGTACTTATAAAATAAATAAATAAAAAGAGGTGTATATATCATTAGCCTTAGAATTTGGTTAATTCTTTTTATATAAAAAAGATCTCAATCCAATTCAATCATAGAAGAAGAAAAAAAGTTAAATTGAGTTAGATTAATAGAGTTATCACAATTATTTATTTATTTATAAAAAAATTAAATATTTCTGATATAAATTATTTGATATCTATTTCACTAAAATTAGTCTAATGACTAAAAGATAGGATTAAGGTAAATTATTATGGTCACACCTTTATAACTTTCTTCACTCATTATAACAAAAAAATTATAAAGTAAATAATGATACCAATTAAATTCTAAAATAAATATGTTTTATTGTTAGAATGCAATCAAACTAAAAATACATGACTCATAAAGCAAAAAATTATACACGTTAAATTCCAAATAAAAAACTATGTTCTTTTGTTATAATGCTCAACAATACAAAATTTGTTACTGAACAAAAGTGACAGATGGTATTATTGTGAGCAAGTAATTATCTAAACACTTTATTATTATTATTATTATTATTATTATTATTATTATTATTATTATTATTATTATTATGATGATGATGATGATGATGAAGATGATCAAGTAATTGGATCATATGTCAAAAAAACACTAGATCCATTACCTAGCCCATGCAAAGCTGATTTTTAACTGAGTTAGTTACTTCTAATCCAAATGTTAAAATATCTTATCCGAAGTAACTGAATTGGTTTGTGTTAGTTCAAATTTATAAATTACACATATCCATTTATACCTTCAATTCCTCGTCTCTCCACATTTAAATCATTTTTTAAAAGATAAAAGTATTTCAATTTAACAACTATAATAAACAAGATAGTTATTTATTTATATAATTAAAGTAATATTTAAATAAATATTTAAATATATAAATTATATTATAAGAAAATTTATAATAAATTAATATTTGAATATACAAAATATGTATTAAATTTATGATAAATAATTTATATTATTATAGCTATTTTAGTTATTGATAATTTATTTTAAAATATTAAAATTAATTCAAAATATATGATAAAATAAATAAACGAAGAGATATAAGATATTAAAAAAACTTTAAAATATTTTTATTATATAAAATTACTAAAAGTATTATAATATCTCTAATGCATAGTGCTTGTAGTGTATTCTACTCATCAGTAATAATGTTTATTAGCAACTTTCATTGAGTGCAATGACATGACACAATAAATTATTAAAATTAAGCAACATTACTTTAAATACAAATCACTCCTACAATAAAAAAAATTATTATATTAATTATAATTAATTTGTTAAGTTGTCAAATTGTCAAATTGTGAAATATAAATAAAACAAATATAAAAGTGTGAATTGCCTATAAGATCCTATAATTGGAATAAAATTTATAAAATTATTGTGTAAATTACTTAAGAATGATATAGCATGATAAATCCCAAATAAAATAAAATAAGATACATCACAAATACTCTACATTAGAGATGCTCTTATAATTATATAATAATTTTCAAAAAATATATTTTCATTCAAAATAATGGTTTTATTATCATTCAAAATAAATTTCAAACTTTTATATAAAAATAAAACAAATATTAACAAGTCTTTTTAAAAAAAAAGTTTCTTTTAATTATTGGTAGTGTTTATAATTACAATCTATAATAAATTTAATTCGGTCCACTTCTCCACTTTGGAAATTAATCACAAATTAAAATATTATATTTTTCTTATAAAGATAATACCATCTTTTCAATATTATTATCTCAAGAAAAAATATCATACTACAATAATATATAATATTAAAAAAATTTCATATCACTTATAGATAATATCCCAAACGTGATGACCTTGACGACATCAGTACATTTACGATGAGAACACAAACTAAAATATAATCTTTAAACAAAATATAATATTAAAACTAAAACAATATTTTTTAATCTAATAGGACTAAAAAGATAAATATAAAATTAAAGGGACTAAAATAACAACTTTTTATATTTTGTAAACTAAAAGCACATGTTTTAAATTTGAGAGATAAAAAACGTATACACAAGAGCTATGTTTTTTTCCCCTTAAATACAAGGACTAAAATCATAAGTTTTAATTTTGAGGACCAAAAAAGTAATTATCCCAAATTTGAAATATTGAAAACACAATTACCTATAAAAATATTTTATAGTGTATAATTAATACATATTTTAGTACATTGTATTGAGCTTATTTGACATTTATGCATGTCTTAAATTAGTGAATTGGTTGAAATTTTGGTTTTAATTATAAATTATTGTTAATTTTCGTAATTTGTGTCAACTTTAACATATTGTTTTGCACAGGTCATATCTTGAGCTTTCAAACTCAAAATCAAACATTCTTGGTATTCCTCAACAAATCTTTATAATTTATGTGTTGAGAGTTTCACTTAGTTTGGACGTTTAAGGTTCCAAAAATTGCCTCAATGTTATGCCTCTTTGCTTAACTTTTAGTTTACTTTAAAACATATATTATTACTGTAACATTGTTAATTAGTTTATTAGTGGGTTGATAAGTGTCAAAATTGCTTAAAGAAAATATTGAACTAGGATACTTATTGTTCTTACCGGAAATCTGCTGTAGAGATGATCCGCTAGGTAAGATCGGTGAGTCTCCTTCGCTGGTACGTTGGTGTTCCGAGATGGGGGTGGTACCTGCAAAAGAGACTCTGATGCCAAAGTTAGGGTTTGTATGAGTATGAATTTCCTATAAATAATGCACGTACCTTAGTGTATATTAGGGTTGCGTTGGGCCTTGGGCCTGAGATTAGTTGTGATTTGATTAGGTAGAGAATCTCGCCTAGACCGAGATTTCCTGAGATCGGTTACGATCTATTTAAGTGCCGAGCTGACGCCACGTAGCACGTGTCCAATGTTTTAAGAAAAGAAAAGATTTTTTAAAAGTCCAATAATGGCCTTGATAACCAGAATTGGGTTCGGGGGTCGGTTACGTGTATAGAAGGTATTAAGCACCCCTACAACGCCCTTAATAATCGGTACCCTATGATGAAGTTAGAATTATAAATAATAATAATAGAAATATTAAATCCCCTTTTATTAATTATTATTTACATGCTTTAAATTTAAATTATACAATTAACCCTAAAATGTCTACATGATTATTTTTATTATAACAATATTAATTATAAATAAGAAATAAATAAATAAAAAAGAGAGAGAGAGATTAATTGAAATACCTCTTGAATGAGCTTTATTGAATCTTCAAAATAGGAAGATTTTAGGTGCTTTGTGGCAACCTTTCACACTACAATGCCCTCACAAAATCTCAAGAAATACAAAAAAGAGAGAGAGAGAAAAAGAGAGAAATTTTGAGCTCTAAGGAGTCTTAGATGAAATTTTTGGGGTCCTTTGAACTGTGCCCGAGATTTCTTATTTATAGGCATCAGATGTGGGCCGAAACAGCCCGTTCTGGATTCGGAACGGTCCATTCTGGATCCAAATGTTAAGTGTTAAATTTGTACCCTAGAACAGCCCGTTCTGAAATCAGAACGGCCCGTTCCGGGGAACCAGAATTGCCCGTTCTGATTTCAGAACAGCCCGTTCCAGAACGGCCCGTATTGATTTCAGAACGGCCGTTCCGCAGTTCAAATTAAGCCCCCTTTTGATAGATTGGAACGGCCCGTTCTGGTTTAGAACGGCCCGTTCCAATCTTCAATTTTAGGCCTTTTAGAAGCCTCGGAACGACCCGTTCCGATTTTGGAACGGCCCGTTCCAGGCCACTAAAAATAGCGAATTTGGGCTTTTGGGCCCTCTAACGTCCTATCTTGTTGTTTTGTGCCTCCCAGACGAAATTGGGTGTCTACAACCGGGAGAGCCGCCGCTGAGAGGAAAGACCCACCACCACCCAAGGACCTGGAGCCAGGCATACTGAGTTAAGCGCGAAATGGGGGGGTGCAAAGTGTGTTCAAGTCGCTTCTGGAGGTCAATGCGGTTTGGGAGACGCACCGAATTTGCGACCCTTCCATTTGTCGGATGATTCGACTCGAGCCCTGTCCGGCCGGTGAGGGTGTGTTCATGGGGAGGTCTACCAACCCTCCTCATTTTTATGTCTACCAGGGTCTCTTCAGGGACCTGGGCGTTTGTCTTCCTTTCACTCAGTTTAAGTGTGATTTTTTAAACTACATCAACGCGGCCCCTTGCCAGCTGCACCCCAATAGCTGGGGTTTT